AGACCAGGTCAAATACAGCTCAGAAAGAGGTCTGAGACCAGGTCAGAAACAGATGTGAGATCAGGTCGGAAACAGGTCTGAGATCAGATCAGAAACAGGTCTGAGATCAGGTCAGAAACAGGTCTGAGACCAGGTCAGAAACAGGTCTGAGACCAGGTCAGATACAGGTCTGAGATCAGATCAGAAACAGGTCTGAGATCAGATCAGAAACAGGTCTGAGACCAGGTCAGATACAGGTCTGAGATCAGATCAGAAACAGGTCTGAGACCAGGTCAGAAACAGGTCTGAGACCAGGTCAGAAACAGGTCTGAGACCAGGTCAGAAACAGGTCTGAGACCAGGTCAGAAACAGGTCTGAGATCAGGTCAGAAACAGGTCTGAAACCAGGTCAGATAAAGGTCTGAGACCAGGTCAGACACAGGTCTGAGATCAAATCAGAAACAGGTCTGAAACCATGTCAAATAAAGGTCAGAAACAGGCCTGAGACCAGGTCAGATACAGGTCTGAGATCAGATCAGAAACAGGTCTGAGACCATGTCAAATACAGGTCAGAAACAAATCTGTGATCAAGTCAGAAACAGGTCTAAGACCAGGTCAGAAACTGATATGAGATCAGAGCCCCTCCCCCCACTGGTACTTGGACCCACCTGAGTTGATGCTGCAGCGCCCCGTCCCTCGGACGATGCAGAGTGGAGCAAATCCAAACACCAGAGTGATGGACAGCAGAACCACCAGAGCTCCCAGTTTTATCTCCAGAGCCGGAACATCAGCTGGGTTTACCGGCAGTGCCACTGCTCCCCCGCGGAACTGGAGGGCTGAGGAGGAGCTTCCACCTGCCGCCAGCATCATTCAGCTTCTCCGGACCCCCTCAGTCAGACAGGCTTAAAACATTGGTCCAGACAAGATCAGAATCTGTCAGGAGAAACATGAAACACATAGGCAGAGATCCCAAGGGGACGCACCCATTAACCATACAGATGTCTCCCCAATAATCACGGTAAACAACACATATATATTCAATGACATAGTATTGCCCAATCAAAGCAGAGCACAAACGATCCACATCCAAACAATATCTCTTTAATTGTTGAAAGATTGTGACCACCCCTTAAGGTGAGCAGAAAAGTGAATTGCTGAGGAACCATCGACATATATACATATGTCATATGTATGAGGAACATTAAAAAAAACACAAAAATTGTTGCTTTTCTTAGAACCTCCACATCAGCACTGTGAAAAGCAAAAAGGAAACCATGCTGAAGTTAGTTTTAAGTGACAGATCTCCATCCTGGTTCAGGTCCGATCACAGCTAAATCAACAGATTTTATTTATAGTCACCTCAGGATGGTTCGATTAGCCAGATAACTTTCATATTTAATATTAATATTTTCATAGAAAAATTATGTTTTCTTTAAATGCTTCCACATCATGTGACTTTATTTTTAGATGATGTTCTCTCTCTTTATTGTGAAACGTTTACATAGATGTTGTAGTACTGTAGTACTACTTTATCTTTGTTTATGTAATGGTACATAATGTTGGTTAACATGCTGGAGGCCCACCCTGCAAGAGACATTTTTTTACATATCCCCCAAAAAGATTTGCTTTCTGAAATTTTACAGTAAATCCAGTCTGAGCCTCTGAGGATCCAGTTCAAGGATTCACAGGTTCTTCCTCTAGAGAGAACATCAGGAACTACTCATGAAATCTGGAAAAGCTTAGTTATTTAAAGGATCAGGGAACATGTTTAAACTTGTCCGCCATGACCTCTGATCCCTGACTTTGTTGGGCAGACAGGTGTTCTCGTCATCAGAGCATCTCTGGAGGAGAACCCGGACCAGGACAAGATCTGTGGAATGGATCAGATGGATGTTAACGGGAACTATCTACATTCTGTCAGAGAAACCAGAAGAACCTCTAGATCTGACCCAGAATCTGCACCTGGACCCAAATACAAAGAGCAGCAGAACCAGTTCCATCCAGTAAACCCAGAAGTTTCAAACAAAAACGCTTCAACGAGGACCGATTGATCCACTTTACGCCCAGAATCAGAACCAGGGGATCTTTTAATCTGGAAACTCCTCCGACAAACATCAAGCGAATCGATAAGACACGAGGCCCCTGAGACCCGACGTTGGACCTGAGGCGAGACTTGCCAGGTGAGAAGGACCAGACACGTGGCCTACCTGCTCCAGCCGCGTCCCGGTGAGTCCTCTTCCCGTTACTGGGAGTTTGTCCGGGAAGTTCTGATTCAGTTCCCATCAGCTGATCCCGCCAGCTGTCACGCGAGCCACAACACCACGCACTTCCTGTCTTCAAACTAAAAGCTTTTCCAAATTTTGTTTTTTTCAGCAAATGAATATTACCTGCAGATGCCTTTTGAAACTTTGTGACACACATGCACGCGCCAGAAAAATTTATTTCGTGTTCAATTAAAAAGTCGAACACATCTCAGTTCAATTAATAAAATACATCTAAAATAAATTGGTTTATTATTGATCTGACAGAATCAACTAGAATGAACTTACGTAGAATGAATTTTGACTCAGAAAAGTGAAGCTCAATGTGATACGTTAACCAAAATAAATATAATTGTAACTGAATTTATCAAATGAAGACTGATGAGTTGAATGTGTGCTTTTATTTTGGTGGTCACAGGCCTTGTTTCCGGTGTAAGTATGTTTAACTTCTTTCAGCTAAAGTAGGAGTCGCGCTTCATCACATATTTACTTAAGAGTCAAAGGTCAAAGACATGAAATGATTCAGACCAAAGTTTTCAGCTGATGATGAAGGTTTGAACATCATCATCAGCTGGTTCTGAATCAACATATGTCTTCAGTCTTACAGCAAAAACACCCAGATGATCTTTATTCTGAGGCTGAAGGATTTAGTCGTTTCATTTCGAGAATGTTGATATAAAGTTCATTATGAAGCAACCAGTTGGTTTTATAAAACGGCTTAATAAGAACTGTAAGTTATGTGAAACGTGTTGACTGCATTATTATTGTTGAAGCAGAATTCTGTTATCACCACTATGGGGCGCTCGTCTGCTGCTCAGGTACGCCTTCAGAAAAACAGAACCTACAGAAATCTTCTAGTCCTGGGTTCTCTGTTCCAAACCAGAATCCTTCAGACCTCTAACCCGAATAACATCTCTTATAAACGTTGGCAGAATAACAAACAAATAAACATTTGAAGCTTAAAAAAAACATGATCATGTTCATTCAGCCATCCATCTTGGACATGTGTATTTGCTCTTTTTCAGACGCACCGACTGGGGCGGTAAATGGCTAAAAGGTTGACTAGCATGAGCGTTTTTAGGCCATTTTTGGGGGGTGCCGAAGCACCCCGAAAATGTGAGAATTTAAAACATTTAGTTTTACTATATGTTATTTTAAAGACAATTGTAAAATATAAAAAGCATAGTGTGCTTGGTAGAAACGTTAAATTTCAACAACAAAAAATCCTGATTCTTCCAGCTCAGTTTTTGTCATCTGATCCATTTTAGTGATGAATTTAAATTTCTCAGACACAAGCCAAAGATTGGAAAACCTGTCTGATAGCTCTTGCAGGATGGTGTCAACAATGACATTGAAAACCGTGCACCTAAAGTGTATTTCGGGTTCTTCTCCGTGATGAGCATTGCTGGAATTGTCATCTTGGTAACTCTTTTGCTTCTTAAAACATCTCTGTTTGAATTCTGGAGAAGCATCCATTTCAACTGCTATCCTGCTTGCAATTACAAGTGACTTTTGGTAGCCCTCTTCTCTATAATTGAGTAAGAACGTTTTCAGAGAATCAATTAGGCTAATAGCTGTGTCAATTGAGACATCTGCTGCCTGTAGGGCCTTGCTTGCAAAGTTCATCTCTGACAATAAGTCATACCAAATGAGGAGGCACACAAGAAACTCCCTCCTTACAATCTCATCAGACAGTGACTTTGCCTCTGAGACAATTTTGCTGTCTCCTGCCACTTCTGCAAGTTCATAGAGCATCTAGAATCCCCCCAACTGGAAACATACAGCTTTGACTGAGTCTAGCTTTGCTTCCCACCTGGTATCACTCAGAGGTTTCAGTGTGATGTCAACAAATTCTGTGAGAATGGCCACCTCTTCACTGAAGAGGAACACATAGTGTACAATCTTTGAAGAGTGCCAAAGAAGGTCAGATACTCTCTATTAGATGAAGCTGCATCACACATCAAAAGGTTCAGGCTGTGGCTACAGCAGGGACTGAACAGAGCCTCTGGACATCTCTGTTGTATCAAAGCTTGGACACCCTTGTTTATCCCTCTCATATTAGAGCCATTGTCATAGCTTTGGCCCCTACAATTAGCCAAGTCCAACCCCAGACTATCCAGCACTCCTGTCAGTGTGTCTGCAAGGCCTTTCCCAGTTGTGTCCTTCACAGCCGTGAACCCCACAAAAGACTCATTAATACTGACATTCTTCTTCTCATCAGTATGAATATACCGTATGATAACTGAGGCCTGCTCTTGCTTTGAAATATCAGGAGTGCAGTCCAGTTCCACTGCAAAGTACTTGGAGGCTTTAATCTGGGCACAAATTTTACTTAAAACACATTCTGATATTGAATCCAAAAATTCATTCTGAGTGCACCAAGACAGATATCCGGTGTTTTTTTGTTTTTTTTTTGGAGGCAAGTTTTTCTAAGATGCTCTGCCAGTGTGACATCATACCTTGCGATGAGCTCATGGATACCTAGAAAATTTCCATTTTTAGGATTTCCTAGCTGCGCATTTTTTCCCCTCAGCGGCAGTTTCTTTCAGCAAGGAAGAGTATGCAGTCAATCACTCGAGTCAAAATACTTCTCCAGTGTGTCTTTTCAGCGGGCGTGGCTCTCTGTAATTCACAATCAATAGTTTTACCTATGCGTAAGCGAGATGCCAATTCTTTCCACATCAGATTGTCATGATGTGGTGTGGGTGGCGTCGGACCATGTGTGGTGGAGCTGATCAGGAGGCAGGAATGCAGGCATGGATAACATAAAAATGGATTTAATAGCAGGATACGGCAGGATACAACAAGAACAACACGACAAACAACAATGATCCGACACTGACACATACAAGACGGGAGGTATAAATACACAGGGAAACAATCAGGAACACATGGGCAGGTTAACAAGGGGCAGGTGAGACCAAAAAACTAAACAGGAGGCAGGGGAGAGTCACAGTCAGAGGGAGGCAGGAGCAGATCGTGACACAGATAAGCATTTATGTGATAACCACTAGTTTCATGGTGCATCAGGGTTTTTGAAAGACACTGCCAGTTGTTATAACCCGTCACAAGGTGTGTGTCAGCAACTCTAGCTTCACCAAAAAGCTTACAAGCAAAACAATAGACTTTTAGTACTTTTGGAGTACAGTAACCAATCCCGTTCCACTTTCTCTCCATTGGACAGTAAACGAAAACAGTGTGCTTTGGAAAAACACCGTTTACTCTTCTCTGATCTTGGATATGGCCCACCAGGACATTTCGGTGGGCCATTCTGAACCATGTACTGCCTCAATGTGTCCCCAATTTCATGTGGTGAAGGCCATTCAGATGGATCTTTTAAATAAGGTCTTTCACCAGCCCTCTCCTCTGCACTTCTCTGTTCCTCTTCCTCTTTATCATGTTGACCTCTTTGTTCTTCTCCCTCTTCTTTGTGTAGACCTCTATGTTCTCTCTCTCCTTCATCATGTGGATCTCTCTGTTTCTGTCCCTCTTCTTCATCATGTAGACCTCTCTGCTCCACATTCTCCCCCGTAGTCATTGACTTGCCTTGTCTGCCTGCACTTATTTTTCTTAAAGGACAAAAAGATGGTCAGTAAAATTCTAATCATACTAGAATTCCAGGTTTTTAATGGCCATTCTAGTATATGTATTCCTATCTGTCATGGTCTCAAGCATTATTTAACAGCTATAAATTACCACTCTTGAAAATGCACTTGATCATTATAAATAATATTTAAAAATTGATCACTTGGTATTAAGTGAGTGTTCACTTCCACCTAGTATTAGACCAACCTGTTGCCTTCCTATCTCTGTTCTGATTCTTTATATCTCTTTTTTCTTCTTTCTCTCCATCCGCACATCTGAATAATAAGAAATTTGAATTTAGAAATATTAAAAAAATACAAGTCTCAAACTACATATAAAAACATTATGTTTTAGTTTAAAATTGCAGGAATTTAAGAGCAAATCTGAAGTGCATCACCCAATTCAATAATTTATCAGTATTATCACTCAACATCCAATTAAACAAAGGATTACTGTCAGAAAAACTAAATAACCACCCCTGGTTCCTTTATTTTTCTTGTGATTATCTATTACGTATTTTTTATTAGATCTAGCTGAATCAACCCCCCCCCCCCCCCCTCACCACCACCACCCCCGCTGCTCTCACGGAGATCCGACTACTCCCAGAAGCCTGTGTGAGATTAAAACCCTGATCTTGTGGTCCATACAGAACACCCGTAACCTGTCATTTTACTAGAGGCAGGCTAGCAGCTTCAGCTAATAGAGCTAATAGGAATAATGCCTTCTTGCGAGATGACTCTCCTACTGTCTTTCAATCACTTAGAAAGGTTTTTTTTCATCCCTACGAAATTATTTTTCCCTTTCCCTCTTCCGTTTTTTTTGTGCCCAGGAGAGCTTTTTTTCGGACTTTCCATCTCTAGCTAACCTAGCTAGCTGATCAGATGACAGTAGATATCATTCAAATGAAAACACTCGCGCCCCAGCGCTTAATCGCGGGCGCACGCGCTGGACTCCTCAAGAGTGTTCACGTTCTGTGTGTGTGTGTGTGTGTGTGTGTGTGTGTGTGTGTGTGTGTGTGTGTGTGTGTGTGTGTGTGTGTGTGTGTGTGTGTGTGTGTGTGTGTGTGTGTGTGTGAGTGTGGGGCGGCAGGGCTGCGGTGGGGCGCCCAATCGCTTGCTTCTGTTAATAATTATTTAATTTACACATGCACAATAGCTATGCAACACAAAAAAGCCCTTCCCCCCCATCAATGCTTAAGCGCACCCTCCAGCGCGGTGCCCCTATGCGTCGCATACACTGCATACCCACTTTTGGCGCCACTGACTGGTAACTTTAACAACCGAGCGTCTGCGTCGTTTTGGCTGCGCACGCGCACTTAACGCTTGCACTTAATTGAGCAGCCCTCCTGGCCCCGCCCCCTTCCACACGTCACGTGAACAGCGTCTGCGCCTCTCTTTATGACGTCACAAAGCCTCAAACTTCATTACCGTCATATACCTTGACCAGCGTCGGATCAGTCACAGTTCACGCCTCAGAGCAAACAGGTAGCATGGAAAACCTACATCATCCTCATATAGAACCACTGAAAGAAAGGGAGAGATTGTTAATAAACTTATTTAATGTGGAACAAAAACTCAAAGATTTGAAAGAGCGCTTTGTAAGAGAGACTGAGCGTTCTGCTGCAGAGAAATTAGAGCAACTGGACACTTATGAAGAGGAGTTAGAAAAATATGATCTTGATTTAATTTTAGTAAATAGAGATGCCAAAGATACAATTTTAGCCCATAAGCGTAATTTAAGTAAACAGGGGCATTTACTTTGGGAACTCGAAGAGGAAAATAAAGTCCTGCAAAATTACAAATTACAACATGAAAACGAAGCCCTGGAGGAGAAGATTTTAGATGACTGTCTCTCAAAAATTAAATTAGTACCAACCTTAGAGTTAAGAGCAACTCCTATGAAATTAAACCAAATGCCTAGTCGTAAGAAGGACTGGATTTTAGGTGCTATCTCACAAAATAAACAAAAAATTAACAAACTGGAAGCCCTGAAGTGTTCAAATCAAGAAGGCTCGTCAAACCTAGAGGAACAGAAAAAGAGAGAGAATCAGTTCCAAGACTATTTGTTGGCAAAATACCGGCATTTACCATTAGATGTTAAGGAGGAGTCTTGCTCTGCGATTGACAGAATAGAGTATGTAGACTCAAAGTTAAAACGGTTAGATAAAGCGAGACTTTCAGCTCTCAAGCAAAACTCAGCGGCGAAAAATACGTTGAGAAAGGAATTGACTGACATAGAGGAAGAAAACATGTCAACTTATCAAACAAACGTTGTTCGGAGAACTAAGGGTGAAGTTAAAAATGAACCACGCTTAGACTTACAAGGAATACCAATGAAATTAAGGTATACAAGTCATAGGAAGTACTTACCTTAAATCTGCATCACGCCCGGCATTCTAAACCCTGGGTTCGAAAATTTTAAAATCAGTCCTTCAAACACAATTATTCATTGATGGCATGTACTTAGAGACAGATACAGGAACATGGACATTGTAAAACCACGTTCACATGTTTGTAGCAAGATGCTTTTAGCCATAGCTAATTTACAGCACTTTAGATGGGCTGTTAAAACAGTCGAAAGAAGTTTATAATCTTGTTTTTCATCGTGGGCATGCTTTGCTGTCCACTATAGTAAATTGCGAGGGGGTGGGAGGGAAGCTAATGAAGAAACCAGTTTTTAGCATTTCATCGTATTTGTTTAGGTAAGTTCACACGTTTGGCTGCAATAACAGAGAAGGGCGTAAATTCAGCTTGTCTTTCTGTTCAATACATTTCTTGGACTCACCACTTGTGAAAGGAGCCAAAGATGTTGGGTGCAATGTGTGATGTAGCCGAAGGAGAGACTCTTCGGCTGGGAAGGGAACGCTTTGGGAATTCCCCCGAAAGAGCTGGCCCAAGTGGCTGGTGAGAGGAAAGTCTTGGCCTCCCTGTTTAGGCGACTGTCTCCGCGACCTGACCCTGGATAAGTGGCCAAAAATGGATGGATGGATGAAACTTTGTTATGGCGCTTACACAGTAGCGTCGGCACGGCCCCAAAAGTTACCGAACGGCACCAGAATTTGGCTTCGCACACAGGTCAGATTCACGTTTTCGGTGCCGAGGCAACTCTTTTTTCAGACCTCCTCCCCAGCGGTCAGACTGGGACCGAGGCGACACTACCAACTGATTGGCTAGCTGAAATTATGCCTACTGCCTTTGATCTGCCAGCGGGGGGGGGGGGGGGGGGGGGTCCGCATGCGTGGTTCATTTTTACTGAACACGGTACATGAGAAAATAAAAGGTAAAAACATTAAAGTAGAAAACAAATGGGTAAAACAAGACATAAAGAGACCAATGAAAGCAGGGAATTAAAATCAACATAAATGAAGCCGGCGGCTAACAGATAAGTGTGTAAACCAGTGGGAAGTGTGGTGGTGGTGGTGGTGGGGGTGGGGGTGGGGGGTCACAAGACAGCGTTTCCCTGCCGTAGACGAGGACTGCCAGGTCTCCGATGTAGCCTAGTTGTCTTTAGATTGGCTGTTAAAATAGTCGAAAGAAGCAGGAGATCCATTTTCTGCAGCTGGAATAGCCAGGATTTAGTTCTGTCATGCTAGGTGGCAGAAAGACCGTTTACACACTTTGGAACTTATAAGAAACTTTTGAAGAAGCCAGTCTTTAGCATTTCATCATGTTTATTTAGGTAATTTGACAGTCAAATGTTAATAGTCTGCTGAGCGGTTGACTGCGCTAACAGATAAGTGTGTAAACCAGTGTGAAGTGGGGTGGGGGTTGGTTGCCCAAGGCGCTGAACACGGTACATGAGGATAAAAAAAGGTAAAAACATTAAAGTAGAAAACAAATGGGTAAAACAAGACATAAAGAGACCAATGAAAACAGGGAATTAAAATCAACATAAATGAAGCCGGCGGCTAACAGATAAGTGTGCAAACCAGTGGGAAGTGTGGTGGTGGTGGTGGTGGGGGGGGGGGGGTCGGGGGTCACAAGACAGAGTTTCCCTGCCGTAGACAAGGACTGCCAGGTCTCCGATGTAGCCTAGTTGTCTTTAGATTGGCTGTTAAAATAGTCGAAAAAAGCAGAAGATCCATTTTCTGCAGCTGGAATAGCCAGGATTTAGTTCTGTCATGCTAGGTGGCAGAAAGACCGTTTACACACTTTGGAACTTATAAGAAACTTTTGAAGAAGCCAGTCTTTAGCATTTCATCATGTCTACTGCGCTAACAGATTAGTGTGTAAACCAGTGGGGGGGGGGGGGGGGGGGGGGGGGGGGCAAGGCGCTGAACACGGTACATGATGAAAGAAAAGGTAAAAACATTAAAGTAGAAAACAAATGGGTAAAACAAGAGATAAAGAGACCAATGAAAGCAGGGAATTAAAATCAACATAAATGAAGCCGGCGGCTTACAGTGGGAAGTGTGGTAGTGGTGGTGGTGGTGGTGGTGGTGGTGGTGGTGGGGTCACAGGACAGCGTTTCCCTGCCGTAGACGAGCACTGCCAGGTCTCCGATGTAAACTGAGTGACTTGAAGTCCGCAGAGAGTTGAGCTTCTGTCTGGGGACTTTGACTCTCCTGACACAAGAGACACCTGCAAAACAATTAGCCACACTGATAAAGTCAAAATCGTCAGACATTTTGACCGACTTGCCAAAATAAATTACTTTTTCAAAACCAAACACTTCACACTCTCTGTTGACAATTCTATCTGAGTATGTATGTAACAGATGTATTCTGATGTTTTATAATAATTCATAATAATGATAATGATCTGGTGGTTTCCTGCCACCACAGTCATGTCCCTGGTGAATGATAGTGTATTACATTTTGTGTTTATGTATTTCAGACTTTTTAACATGGACAAATGTGTCCCTCACTGTCCTACACCTCTTCATGCAGTCCGACTCCTCACCTCTAAACTCATGTTTCCCCTACTTCTATGAATAAAACGATTGCTCGGTGTCATTGTAAACATTTATACTTTTGGACTTTTTCCGAGAGACTTTATTCAACCTGATACATACAAATTCAGAAGGTGTGAAAATGGTGACAACTAAAGTTTACACCACCACCCCTATTCTAGTGCAATACAAGCATTACCAAGTCAGCAGAGTCCACCTGAGGAGACGCGGGTGCAGAAAGTTGCAGTTCTGATCTCGCTGGTGTTCGTACAGGTGTTTGCACGAGTGTTGATCTGGCAGATGCACTGCTTGAGATCAATGACAATAGCTCAGATATGTCTCGTAAGTTCTGCCCGACTGCTGGAAGCTCTGTTGAGAATGAAGATATAAATAATTATTTAAAAACATTAAAGCCCCATGTCTGCTATTTAAGCAAACGCTCAAACCATACAAAAAAAAAAAACAAAGTCAGTCATTTTTTGTGCAACTTTAAGATAAATAAAATCCTAATCTAGTTATCTTGTCTCTACATGAAAAGACTGATCATATAAACATACCTTTCATTGCTTCTATTGGGTGTTTAAAGTTGTCTTCTTTCAGCCTTTTATTCTCGGCTATTAACGGCTTTATTTGCCTTTGTGCCTTGCTCCAGTTCCTGGATGGCAGCTCGTCATCTGATAACTCCTCATATTCGGTTGGGGACTGCAAGACACAGAAATCAACACCAAAACACACACAACATGTTAGTGTCATGTGTTTCAGACACAAGTAGCATGTTTACAACTACTGCTTGTAAACATTCAAATGTGATAAATTACCTCTAAATCTTTTTGTCTTGCCATCAGATCCTTCTTCAAGTCTTCAATCATTTGGTCTGCAGCCTCTTTTGAAGGACAGGATGCCGTTTAAAATTTTTGCTGCAAAATTTCAGAGTTTATAGTATATGAGCATTGATGCAAATTATAATACATGTGCTAAAAGGAAATATTTAGTACTAGAATACTCAGAGTATAGTGATACAATAACTTTTTAAGTTTTTTAAATAAAGGTTTCAAAGCAGTTCATAGGAATATATGAATATTATCATAACATAGTTTGTAAAAGTGTCACTTATTTAAGGTGTTGTATGCAATTGCACTCAATTAATTTGAGAGCTGTCCATTTCCACATCTTTTAATCAATTAATTTACCTTTTTTGATTGTTGACTCTCTTCCTCATTGTCCATCCACCTGCTGTTGGGCTTTATCTTCCTCTTTCCTCCCCTGTCTTCCTCTCTTTTCCAGATGTCCTCACCCTTTATGAAAGCCTCCCTCTGTTGGCACAGGTCAGTGTAGTTGTCTATGAGAAAAAGATTATTGGTATAATAAACAGACGATGAGTAACTGTGATAAAACATTTCACCCTTTAACCAAACAGAAGCATTGAGGAGCCATAAACATATTTTTTTCTCATTTATAAAATATTGAGCCTACACTTACATATAATAGGTTAAAATTAGGAAAATGTTACAGGGTGTGGGAAATGCAGAGTAAAAGATTTACCACTTTTCTCACACCATCAAACAAGTGAGCATGGTTGACAGAGCTTGGCTGTGAATGCAGTGACGTGCGGTGAGGTTCAGGACTGGGGAGGCACTGGCTGGAGTGGACTGGAGTCAGACTTACAAATACACAATCCCCGAAGCTTCTATTGATAGAATGAGACTAGAGGCGTTCATCTCTGCCTCCAGTCTGATGGCGCAGCGCCTCACAATAGAAATGGGGCTTTGGCGCGTGCGCCCTGCCATGTGCGCAGGAGTGAGAGCAAGGTAGCTAGTTCATCGCCTCCCCTTGGGCTTAAGTATTTGATCAGGAAACGGGTAAATTTCAGCAATTTTGACCATAAACATGTTGAAATCAAACATAAACCAGGCAGTCAGTGGACACATTGATTTCCTACTATATCATTATTGGTCTAAATAGTCACGATGACTGCCTTCCCTACTCATGATAAATGATAAATGACCCGCACTTGTATAGCACCTCTCAGAGTAAGGACTCCAAAGCGCTTTACACTACAGTGTATCATTCATCCATTCACACACACATTCACACACTGATGGTGATGAGCTACAATGTAGCCACAGCTGCCCTAGGGCGCACTGACAGAGGCGAGGCTGCCGAGCACAGGCGCCACCGGTTCCTCCGACCACCACCAGACCACACGTGACTGCATGAATGGAGAGAGTGATGGTTAAAAACATATATAACTTATTTATGTCGTGTGTTACCCTATCAGTTAGTGTGACCGGCCAAAAATGTTTAGGTAACAGACAAGATAACATTTATAAGCTAGGTGTATATCCTGGTTCACAAAACCCACGATAGCCATAACTGTAACTGCCTTCTGTAATCTTGTAAATAACATGTCTGTGTAGCTAAAACAAATATAACTGTAATTTTTTCAGTCTCTTGCCCAGCACTCCCTTGAAAATGAGGTTTTTAATCTCAAAGGGACCTTCCTGGTTAAATAAAGAATAAATAAACAAGGCTAAAATTGATATCATGCATGCACAGACACACACACACACACACACACACAAACACACACACACACACACACACACACACACACACACACACACACACACACACACACACTGTCTATAAACAGAACCGCTTTAAGCTTTTTAGTTTTCTACCACTAGTTTTTAAACAAACACGTTTAAAACTTCGTAGTTCTCCCCATTTTCTCTTCCTGTTGAAAAACCACAGCCGGCGCGCAAAGCATGCTGGGATAGCCTTGTTCTGTGAGAATACGTTTTCTGCATGTAAACGAGTACTGTGGTAAAAAATGTGGTAAAGATCTCTGTCTGAAAGTGACCAATCACATTAGGGAAGGCGGCTCCTTGGAACCCGCCCCCCAAAGTGTGAAAAGTGAAACTTGTCCGATATAGCGGAATTTCTACTCGAGAGCAGAGCAGGCTGCGCGAGCGTGTTTTAACAGTTCCACGCGCGTAGTACCCACACTTACGAGTGACAGGAACAATTGTCTGTGTGTGACTGGATACAATCTGCTCTCGGGTCTTTGTAAACACGTGCAAGGTGCTTTTTCGCACTCGCGGATAGTTTAAAACACGCACGGAGGACATTTGGAGCGCTAGTGGATGGGAACTTGTCCTTTCACGGACGTTTAATTATCCTCTCGTGATTGTGCGTGCTCTCGCGAGACCTTATTGACATAAAATAGACTCCATATAATCCAACTTTAATTGGGTTGTAGCATCACACTTTATAGCGTAGCGACTGCAAATTTAAAGAGCAAGTAACGTCTAAATTACCTTTTTTTTCTGATAAACTTTATAAATGAGTGTCTAATAGTGTTTAAATGTGTGTATTCATTATTTTAGCATTTTGGTGCATTTTCTTTAAAAATTAAAAATTCTGCCTAAATACCACAGCATAGTGCCACCTTCAGCTTAAAACATAGAGTTTGAGTCATTTTGAATGTGGCAAGGTGGATGCACAAGGGCCCAGGCAGGATTTGATCCCCAAACTCCTGGGTGAGAGTCATACGCACTAACCAGTCAGCCAAAGGGACATCCGCTTGGCACAGTAGCCAGGGCGCATGATCAATCGGGACATTGTGACAGGACGCTCACACTGTCACATCAATACACTTTAGCCAATGGCTAAAGAGAAAGATACTACGTAAACCAGTAGAGTACTGCGTAGCAGCTCTGTGTCAAAGTTATAAAAGCATCGAGCGTCTCGGCCACGCCTTGTGGCGAGCTGGGAGTTGGATTTGCAAACGAGTGTAGGAGGTTAGCCGTAGTTCAGCGTTAGCATATAGCATTAGCATATCCTAATCTTTAGCATAGCTTTTAGTGTTATACATACTTATTTAGTGTTAGCTTGGCTGTTGGATATTGTAGTTTAGTTAGTGTTTCGCTGTTAGTGTTATTAGGAAAGTAGTTCGGGTTTAGTGTTCCATATCGTGTTAGTATGGTGAGAAGGTGTAGTGTAGTGGGTTCGGTGGCTCTGTGGGGTTGCACTCCTTTCCACTGGACTTAGAAATTAGGCGCCACTGATTGCGCGCAATCGGTGTCTGGAAAACAGTCAGCTCCCGCCTGGTGCTGTAGTTTGCAACCAGCATTTTACCCACGATTCCTTCGCCAACATGATGGAGTTTGAACTGGGTTATTCTGCGTGCCTCCGTTTGAAGAGGGAGGCCGTGCCCACCGTGGCCAATAAGATGTGATGATTCCATCTAAATATTAAATATAAACCTGATTGATCTTTGAATGTTTAACCAGAATAGTTTAGGGTTTTTTGCTTGTTCAGGGACCATAAACACACTTCGTGTTAATTCAGGAAGAGTCAAGTATATTGTTAAAAGGGATTTTATTCTTGTCTAAACTAATGATAATACACGACAAGCTATGAATAACGAAGTGATGGAGTGTATATGCAGTGATGTAATGTGAGTTGTAGGCGGTGTGGTGTAAAGTAGATGTGTATCAGAACCTTTGTATCTGAAAGAGATTGTGAACTCTGGGTGTGAAAGAATTTGTTGTCTGCTATAAACTAGAGAGTTGATTATTAATAAAACAACATCAGACGCAATCTGTTGTGTCTACAAACCTTGATCGGAGATCCCCGGTCAGATCCGGAATGTCAGGAAGTCTGGTGGACCTCAAGGCACTGAAGTTCATAGATTAACTGCGGTGCGACCAGTCCGGTCTCGAATTGTCTCCAGGTCACAACAGGCAGAAAGGTTCATTGCGTCTAAAACGGATGTGTTCTCAAGGAGCCATATGGCTGTGTCAGCTGACAGTGTGCCAACCATCGACATATATATACTGGACAATTCGTGTCCACAGGCTCCAATTAAAAGTTTTTGTGCCAAAATGGGAGGTGGCTACCACCGCCATTTTGACTGTGTCACAGGTTCCGTCAAGCCAAGACAATTCCAAAAAAGGGAAAAGAGGTGGAGCTGAGGGTGGGGCTGTAAGGCTGGGATCAAATGACGACACATGATGAACTGAAGCGATGTAGCTACAAGCTAACCCAAAGCTAACGCAGAGGTGGGAGCTAAGCTAACGGAGATAGCTACCTAGCTACAACCGGAGTTAACTGTGCACAACACCGGAGCTTTTGAGTCAGAGATACGCCGGGCTGACTGCTGGGTAAAACCGGGTGGAACACAGAGGTCTCCCGAGAGCTCCACAAGCCGGCAGCCCGCGCAGCCGACAGGCGCCGCTGCGATCAGAGATGCGCCAAGCTGACGCTGAGGGGAGGGGACCATTCCAATAGTCGGAATCCAGCTCCACCAACATGTTATATTTCAACCCATTTTCAAAAATGCAGCGTCATGTTAAATGCACTGGGTTCTACCCTATTACATTTAAATTTTATGGTTAAACAGTACATGGTGCTTCCGGTCTGTAACAAGATGGCGCTTGTGCTTGGCTTAGCCGCAGTCACCGTCCACTTTTTCAAACGTTTCTCCACTAACCTCCTCTTTTCCACCTTGCTCCTGTCTGTCTGTGTCTGTGAAATCAGGTGTGTTGAAACAGAGTTAAAACCAAAACATGCTGGATACTATCCCCTAAGCCATGATCAGTCTTTGTTTTCAGGTCATGTGAGAGTTGTTTTTAGACCTACATGTTGCTACTCTTTAGAGAATATTCAAAAAGGAGGTAAACTTACAATTAAATACTCTAAATACTCTTTCTCATAAGTGGATTTACCTGTGTACGGAGGTCAAGGGTCACAGAGCTTAACAAACCAATTCTGAGTTCCAATAATTAGTTCTACAGGTTTTGGAATAAATAAATAAAATGACAACAGTGCCCAAATGTATGCACCTGCCAAGTTTTGTTTAAACATGTATTGCACACTTTCTGTAAACCTTTGTTTCACTTCTCAAACATCACTCTGTGTTTCCTATATGTTACATTTAACTGAAAATCTCATAACAACCAACGATTTATAGGAAACTCATGAAGATTAACAAGACTGCCCAAACTTTCACACCCAACTGAAGATGGTCTCTCAGTCTAAGACGAATCACTGAAATAAATGACCCTTTGCACGATATTTAGGATCACGTGACCTGTAGAGAAGGCAGCTGTCTCCAGGGGCACCCAGTGGGCGTGGTCACACCGGCCAGAAGAATTAGGATGGGGCGTGTAGACTTTTCTCCTCATTAATAACATTAACTTTAAACAGCTGGTTGTGTGTACTTATGTTGTTGTTGACTTATATTTAAATTTGTTTGATGGTCTGAAACACGAAAGTGTGACAAACATGTAAAATGAACATAAAAAAACAAGAAATCAGGGATTTTTTCCACGCTAGTTCCACGTGACCAGTTGAGATGACGTCAGTGTCGAAGCAGCAAAGTTTAATGGCCGAGAGTTTTACGAGTAGTTGTTGCTTTTCCATTTGGTTGTAATCGGTTTCAGGTCCGGACCGGATTAGTCCTACGGGCACGCGGATGACAGGCTCGCTACAAGACGGTAATCAGAATACTTTATCGTCATATGGAGAAGAGCAACAGGATGATTAGTTTTCCCTGCATCTATTACAGCAGATAATAACAGATCTATTCATGAGATTACTTTAATATTCACTTATTGTGTTTAGGTCAGACTGATTCTGACCCAAATGTGCAGCTAAAGTGACTGTAGACGCATTTTATGTTTCAGATTAGGACTAAAATAGGAATATTTTTTGTTGTCAAGCCATCCCATAAATGTGAACATGCGGTCTGGATTTCTAGGCAAGTTGAGGAAAGCAGCAGCGCTGAGCTTCAGGGAAATCAGGACCGAGGCAGAAATCTTCACGGAGTCTGGGACGACTGTCAAAGTCAAAGTCAAAGTCAAAGTCATTTATTGTCATATTCTCCACATGTGCAGGACATACAGAGAAATGAAATTCAGTTTCAGCACACACAATTCAAAGATCAGACATACGTGGGTAAGACACATAACAAGAATTGGTGACTGCGGTCATTCGCAACATGAGTCGCGCTACCTTAATAGTTAGATGAAAAGGGTGTTACATGAGGAAAGTTCAGGGAGGGGAAAAAAGGCATTAACAGGGTTACACCAGCAGGGTGTAGCACTCTAATGCAAAAAAACACCCGACATGGAAGCACAGACAGCACGTATACAACATCAGAGTCCGATGGGGAGGTGGGGGTGGGCGGGATCCTGAAGCCTCCAATGGGAGCTGCCACTGCGGCGCATCGACCAGCTGCAGACCAACAGGTGGGAGGGAGAGATAAGGAACAGAGAGCACATTGAAGTTCCTGCAGAATCTGAAGGAAGAGGGTGAAGGTCGGGACACAGCATCTGTCGGCATTCCTCCTTTTTGTGGGGGTGTGTTGAGGCAGCCTTGAGAGGCTGCTATGGCGTCAGATAAGGATAAACATGACTTTGTTTAGGGCAGACAGAGATAGTCTTCCTCTCCGTCTTGTAGTCTCTAAGTGGTCATTCATGTCCACCAGTGAAGCCAATTTTACATTCCACATCCCCGCATCGTCCGGCGACCCTCTCCGAGA